CAATTCTGGGAGTTGAAGTCCACTCATCTTGAAGTTGAAGTCCACCCATCCTGAAGTTGAAGTCCACCCATCTTGAAGTTGCCAAGGTTGAGAAACACTGAGTTAGATGCTTGTATAATTTCCATTAAAATGGCAGAACGCTGATTTTCAGCACATTTGGACTTGGGGAGGTCCCTTTTTTAAAACTGGCTTGGCCTCTTATGAGGATATCCTCAAGAGCTTCAGAACTTCCAAGTTCTCCTCCTTGCTTGACCCATCAAGGGCTAATCCCTGATTGTTTGCGAAGGATATGGAGATGTCCTAACAACTCCATCGCTTTTTCAAGGAGGTGGCAGACGGGAACGGGAGGCATGCCTTGGGGGGTTGCTGCTCTGCGCCCTCAGGTGAGAGCTGGGTCCTCAGCCGGTGCCCGATGGGTGCTCAAGACGTCTTTTTTGGCACTGAGTTGAACAATTCCAGAGAAAGAAGATGATGTCCACCAATTTGCAGATTTGATCGATTGATTACATGCCATCAAGTCATTGTTGACTCTTAGTGACCACCTAGATTGATTTTCTCCATGATGATCTGACCCCCACCTGGTCCTTCAGGTCTTCCAATGGTGCCCCCATCGCCCCTAACTGAGTCCATCCCCCTTCCTGTTGGTCCTCTTCTTCTCTTTCTGTCCACCTTTCCCAGCATCAGAGTCTTCTCCAGAGATCTGGGTCTTCGCATCATGTGTCCGAAGTAGGATCATTCAAACCTGGCCATTTCTCAAGTGTTTCTCAACCTTGGCAGCTTGAAGATGCATGGACTTCAACTCCCAGAATTCCCCAGAGTTCTGGCTGCTGGTCCTCCTCTTCTTCTCTTTCTTTCCACCTTTCCCAGCATCACAGCCTTCTCCCCAGAGCTGGGTCTTTGCATCATGCGTCTGAAGCAGCAGCATCAGGGCCTGAATTCACAGATCATCTTCCTTTTCCAGCTGTGGAGTGGACGCCGATGCGTTCTCGAGCCATGGTCAGCATGGTGACCGGGTATAGCTACAGCATCGGGCAGTTTGTCCTCGCGGGCGCGGCGTACGCCATCCGGGACTGGCGTTGGCTTCAATTGGCCGTGTCCCTCCCGTACTTCGCCTTCTTCCTGTACGGCTGGTAGGTGGCGCTGTTTCCCACCCTTTGTGTGGCTGGGTGGGGAATTCTGGGAGTTGGAGTTCTTAAAGGTGCCACGGTTGAGAGATGCTGCATTAGGCCAGAAGAGGAAGAAGGATGGGGTCGATCCAGAGGAGTTTGATGCCAGGAACACTGCTGTGGAAATGGGAGATAAAAAAGGCCGTGTTGCTTCAAGGCCCTGCAGGGAGAAAGAAATCACTCCCTATAGGCCAATCGGAAGCCATGATGAGGTTCTGCAAATAATGACATCATTGCCCAAATGGTGATGTCAGACATGTGACGTCACTTCCCCTCCTTTCCTCCCTGTGCAGATTCCTATCAGTGTCTCCCTTTAATGACAAATCCTGTGATCACTCTCTTCGCTTCTCCGTCCTCCTTTCGCATGGCTCCTGTTGCTGTAATTCAGACGTGTCCTAACTTATTTTTTTTGGGGGGGGAGAAAGACACCCTTAGCTTTAAGAGGACATTTGGAAGACCTGATTGCCAAAAGCGGATGGATCCCCCCCCAAAAATGGACATGGACTTGGGTTAACTCAAAGTTCAGTGGAAGTGGGACAGCCAGGGTGGGGTTGCAGGGAAGGGGTTGGACTACAACCTGGGAGACTTGGGTTCAAATCCAGCCCCAGCCATGGAGACTCCCTGGAGGACTTTGAGCCAGCCGCTCCCTCTCCGCCCCGGGGCAGGGCGCTTCAGTGGGGAAGATGCTGGGCTAGGAATGGGGTGATTTGGGTTCAAGTCCCCTCTCAAACAGAGAAGCTCCCTGAGGGACTTTGGGTCAGTCTCTCAGCCCAACCTACCTTACAGGGTTGTTGTAGTGGGGAAAAAGTAGGAGATAGTTGTAATAAAAAATGCCCCATTCCATCTGATTTTCCCCCAGCATTTCAGACAATTTCCCCTTCGGTCACTCTACGGCTGTATTTGCCCAGCTTGAGTAAATCAGGTTACTGAACAGATCCCTCTTGGGTTTGCACAAGATGCTGAACCATCCACAGACCGGGATAACCCTTAAACCAGGATAGAACAAACCTAGGACTTACCCCTTAGGATTTTCACCGACCAGATCCGGTGCGCTGTGTGACTGCAGCCGAAAACAACCTGCAGCTCCTTTCAGACACCCAGAGGCTTTGAGGAAGAGCTTGAGCATCCCTACTGAAGCAGGCAGCTGTTCAACAGGGAAAGTACAACAAGCTTCACCAGTTGAGCTTCTTTTTTCCTCTCCAGGCTTTAAAGACACAGGAGCCTGGGCAGAAAAAAAGGAAAAATAGGAGAGAATAAGAGAGGGCTGAGGGTTGAGAAGGAGATGCATAGAGTGAAAAAAAGAAGATGCTGGACCCACAGTGGCCACCGGGAAGGGCGTCTCTCCATCAAATTTGCTGGCTTCTAACCGCCCCCCATTTTCGTTCCACGCCTCTGTCTTCACCGCCCTTCCATTTCCTTTTGCGCAGGTGGTTTACAGAGTCCGCCCGCTGGTATGCCACAGCGGGCAAACTCGATCGGGCGCTGAGAGAGCTGCAGAAAGTTGCTTGGATGAACGGGCAGAAGGATTGCCAAGAGAAGCTCAGCCTTGGGGTACGAAAGCCGAAAAGCGATGCGGCTGTGTCATTTCCTTGGCAAGCAGGCAGGAAACGCTCGCCCTTTCTTTCCTCTGGGGTGCGGGTTCAGATCCCCAGTTGAGCCTCCAGCTCAGGGATCTCCTGGTGGCCTCCCATCCGTGCTTAGTTTAGGAGCCCAGATGAGGTCCGCTGGGAATAGGATATGTAGAAATCCTGACTCAGTGGATCCATTCCTCCCACACCCTGGCATTTCTGCTCTAGGAACAATTCACCATTAGATGAAGAATTGTAGTCTGGATTGTACGGGGATCTGTATTATGAACAACTGTACTATTCTTCATTCTCGCCGTTCAGAGCTGTTGGGAGGAGGCAGCATCGAAAAATCTGCCAATAACTTAATCTTCGCACGTTGCAGCGAGGAAACTTTGGGGCCCCTAAAAAAGCTGCTTCTTTTTCGTCTTTTTTTGCAGGTTTTGAAAGCCAACCTCCAAAAAGAGAGCCCTTTGGCCAACGCCAAGTTCCCGGTGGCCGATTTGGTGCGCACGCCGTCGCTGCGCCGGATCACGGTCTGTCTTTGCTTTGTCTGGTAAGCCTGGTCGAAGCACGATGTGCCGACAGAGAAACAGGTCGAAAGAAACAGAGGTTTAACTCTCCTCAGCTCTGTGAATACGCCGCGCGTCTGAGAACGGGCTTCTTGCAGGACAGCGAGCTGGGAGGGTGCAAATTACCCCAAATCCGATTCATCCTTTGGAATCCATCTGGAACATTAAATTAGATGCTTCGGTCTCCCATCTCCACTTGGAAAAAATGGGTGTTTGCGCTTCGGCCACCCAGCTCAGCCAGATCCACGTCCTGCCCCGTCGACTCAGAGGCACCAATTCAACAGGAGGCTTCAAAGCCACGGGTGTTGCCTCATTCCTCAACCTCCCCCCCGCCCAAACTGCATGGCTGTGGAAGGATTTCTGCAGGTCAAGCTTCCCAAATTCTCTTCCCTGGCAAAAGAGGCTTCCGTTTTTCGACTTTATTCCCAGGGCAGGAGAATTGACTAAGTTTTAGGGGAAATGAGGGCCGACGGTGTGTTCTTGTCTGCACCTCTCCATCCCTTTGGAGTCTGAAAATTCCTCCTGGGTTCTCTCTTGGGATTGCAGATTGCTGGAAAGAGGGCAGTGCAAGGAAAGATTCAACATTCACAGACCTCCCAGCCACCCCCAGCTGTCCGTAAATAAGAATTTCCGTTGACTTCCTTTCCTACAAGGAATTGCAAAAGCCGAATCTCTTTCCTCTGATGATGCGAGAGGAGGAGAAATTGCCAGCACCACGTGAGTTTTGATGTCTTTCATCCGTTGGCCACTCCAGGTTCTCCACCAGCTTTGCCTATTATGGTCTGGCGATGGACCTGCAGAATTTTGGGGTCAGCGTCTACCTCATCCAGGTGATCTTCGGAGCAGTAGACATCCCCGCAAAGCTGGTGGCCTTCCTGGTGATCTGCTATTCGGGCCGTCGGAGTGCTCAGGCGTTGAGTCTCATCTTAGCTGGGCTATCCATCGCAGGCAATATCTTTGTGTCCCATGGTAAGTTTCCGGGAACGGATGGGCCGAGGGTTTCATTTGTGCAAACCAAAATTACTTTTCCATTATATTTCTTCTTGGGCTCTACTTGTCAAAAACGTCAAGGATCTTCCTGTCCCGGACTTTCCTGGATGAACAGAAAAAGCATATTTACTCCTTGCTGCTTATTTTGTTTGTTGTGGCTCCACGCCATCTTTCCATCGAGAAGTTGTGGACCATGTTTCCAGGGTTATCTTCACAACAACCCTGTGGGGTAGGTCAGACAGAGGAGTTGCTGGCCTGAACCTGCCTGGTGGGATTCTGACCTGCATAGGCCTAGTTCTAATCCCTACTTCTGAACCAATGACACACTGCAGGCTGAAAAAGGCCTGGAATTATTGTGGCAAATATCCTCGACTAGATTCACACGCAGTGTGCTAAACCTGACATCTCAGTCACAAATCACGGGATCACTTTGGCTATAATATTGGGGTTGCAATACACTTACTGACCAGCGGATGGCGCCCGTGAGCCAGGAAACTGGGCTTTGCTGCCATCTAGTGCCTGTCTCCCTTTGTGCAACCCAAATCTGAATGTTCAATTTCTTTCAGTGAATTTATATAGTTCAATCAATTGATATAGTTGCAACAGTGATTGGGCAGCTAACGTAGGATCAAAATTCACAATGATATATTGGGACATGTGTCCAAATCAAGAAGACATATTCTGGCTTTAGGGCATGCCCTGATTGACTCAACGTGCTCAGATAAGGGGTGTGCTTCCACAAGTCATAAGCCATAAAACATACAACCTGGTTTGAGGTTGGGCAAACCCAGCCTTTGCATAGCTCCCGGTGCAAGCTTCCACACCTGGCTGGGTTCCAAAAAAGATAATGAAGAGTCCCTGTGCATGTGTCAAGTGCATCGCTCCTATTCAGTGCTTCCCTCCCAAAACAAATAAGTATCATCTTGGCATCCTGTTCCCCATAAACAGAAACCTGAAACCTAGTTAGGGTCTTCCAGCAGCCAGGTTTGTGCTGAAACCCCACCTTGCCATTTCTGAGAAGTTTTCTGCCCTTGAGAACGAGGCTTCTGTTTTTCTTCTTCTTCTCAGGGAGCTTGAGAATTCCTTTCTAATTTCTCTGGGTGACACATCAGATCCAGGTGCTTCTGGGGTGATGTGGTTTTTGGGATTCACTTCTTTCCATCCCCTTGTAACATCCCAGACTGTCTGTCCTTCCCTCCCTCGGATTGCTGAGCCTCCTTGGATGAAAATTTGGAAAGAACAGCTCTTCTTTAGGAGCCCCATAAGGCCTTCTGAAGTACAGGGAGTCCCCAGGTTAAGAACACCCGGTTTAAGGATGACCCATAGTTAAGAATGGAACCTATTGTACCAAAATTTGAATTAAATCCACAATGGTTTGAGTTCATTACCCAATATACAGTGGTACCTCTACTTACGAACTTAATCCGTTCCGTGACTCTGATCGCAAGTC